CGAAGATGAGATCTTAAAAAAATTTGAGTAGTGATTTTTTTAGAATCTTTAAATAAAAAAATTTATCTAAAATACCAACAATGTACTGGAGCATTTAGAATAAATTTTCGATAAAGATTTCTTTTTTTTTTTTAATAAATAAGATAAGAAATGAATTTTATTTTTTAATATTATTAGGATTAAATTATAATTATTATATTTTATTACATGCATTATAAATATGATATTGAAGACAAATATGAATTGTTGAAGATAAGATTTTTGAGAATTTCGAGTAATGGTTCTTAAAAAGATCCTTAGATGAGAAAGTTCCTTTTGATATTGCTAAAGTATTGGAATGTTTTTGAAAAATTTTTCAATAAATAAGGTTCTTATTTATTCTAACCAAAATACAAAATAAAATTAAATATGATTTTTTTATAATAAAAAATTTAAGAAAATTAATTTTTAAATACCAAAATTAAAGCTTTTTTATCAGAATTAAAAAGATAACACATAATTAATTGGTACCGTTTTTAACGCGCATTGTGAAGGTGCTAATTTTTCCTATGCGTAACCAATTCCTGAACCCAAATTGTTTTCGTAGATTACAAAATTATCTTTTTAATAAATTTTAATTAATTTTAAATTTTATTACAAAGGTAAGTTTTAATTAGTGGCTAATCACACTTAGCCAAAAATATTCATGAGGACTCTTTTTTATTTTTAAATTCATCTAGCATATCTCAAAACTGTTACGATAGTTTGGCAATCCCACTAGGGATGTCATTTTTTTAAAGAGTCAAGCCAAAAATTAATTAGGTATTATCCTTAATTTTGATTTAATGATCTTAACTGGTATTTAACTTTAATTTTTTTTATTTTGATTTTATTATAACAATAGTAGTAAAAAAATTTGCATGCATTTTACTTAACTTATGTCATTTGTCCATTATTTATTTTTTGTGTATGTTATTCTTAATAAATTATGGAGCATGTAGGATAGAAATTGCGATGTCATGTTTTCTCACACACATAATGACATGTTTTTTTATCATGTATAAGCTCTATACCTAGACTCTGTCCTTTTTAAGAAGAAGTAGAGTACTTATGCTTTCGTAAGATAATAACTTTTGTAATGGCAAACGAAATACTTTTACTCAAATTAACCCGTTTCCATTTGTAGCCTATAATAGGTGACGTTCGAGGTGCCTTACTAGCCCTATATAGACGTTAATGAGAAATAATTTGAGAACTTTTAAATGAACAAATTCTCACTCAACATGCAATAAACCTTAAGGGACTAACCTTGGATAGAGCCTTGCCAACTTTTTTGTAGAAATAACTCAAATATACATTAAAATTTTGAAAAAGAAGAAATAGATAATAAAAAAAAATATTTTCTTAAAAAAAAAAATAAAGAAAATTTTCTTTTGACATGTAGTTCATTCATTTGGTGGTTATCCAAAATTTGTATTTTGAAAAAATGTTTTAAAATAAAATAAAATTTTTTTTTAGCATTATCTGATAAACATAAAAAAAACCAACAAACAAACAAAATTTTTTAAAAATAAAGGTTTTTCTTAAATTTTTTGTTTATTGGTCAAATAAAAATTAATAAAAAAAAGAGAAAAATATTCAAATCGTAGTTATTTTGTGCGATAAAAAATGTGGGTTCTTGAATTTTTCTTTTTCCTAAAAAAAAAAAGAAAGAAAAAAAAAAGAAAAAGAGAGAATTTTAACTTTGAATGTTGTTTCATCTTTCACATTTTCATTTGATCTTTTACATATATTTCTATCATGTTTAAAAAAAATAATCGGATATTATATACATAGATAGTACATGCATCACATTTCAGGTATCTTAATAAGAAGTACAGGCATCCCATCATAGGCACATCATATGAATTTTTCTTTTTCCTAAAAAAAAGAGAAAGAAAAAAAAAAGAGAATTTTAACTTTGAATATTGTTTCATCTTTCACATTTTCATTTGATCTTTTACATATATTTCTATCATGTTTAAAAAATAATAATTTGATATTATATACACCTTCATCCCATGCATCTTAATAAATAGTACATGCATCACATTTCAGGTATCTTAATAAGAAGTACAAGTTTCCCATCACAGGCACATCATAATAAGATAATGATGCATTCTATCTTATCCACATCAATAGATAGTATATGTATTCCATTTCATGCACATGTTGATAAATGACACATGTATTCTATACACATCTTACTAGGTAGTGCATGTACTCCATCTCATTACATATCTTAAGGTAGTATCAACCTCATTAAGCCAACACAACATGTGTATTGCGTTCTATGTAGACATATCTCATGCACATGGTAAGTCCATACATTTCATACAAGTATATTGTATTAGTTATAGGCATACATCTCGTCACTCATGAAAATATGTCACTGTATTCTATACATGATGACTCATGAATAGTAGGGTTTTATGAAACATGCATTGTATGAATATACCTCACCATCATTGGCAATAAAACATTACATTCTTTACACATTCATGAGTGATAAAAATTTTATCATTTGGAGCCTGTACATGTGAAAATCCATTGTCTTAGGCATTTTGGTGTTTCATGATATTCTTTAAGCATCATTATCATATTCATAAACATGTTATATGTGTCATATAACTTAGAAATCATTTTATGGCATTCATTCAATAATGGTAATAATATATAATTTTTTTTGTCTAAATCCAGAATAAAATGTCTATCTTGGTGGGAATCAGAATGGTGAAAATGAGAGATCAATTGTAAGATAGTAGTATGGTTAAGTTTGTTGCTTAAAGAGATGAAATTAGAGTTTGAGAGATCAATTGGAGTTGAATCAAAAAGAATTTTGGCACGAGCTTAAAGAGATGAAATAACATATTGCTCAATTGATAAAAATGGTTAAAGATAGTGGTGTAGTTAAGTTTGTTGCTCCTCAAGGGCCATTATCACTTTTAATTCCATCGAATCAAGATCAACTAGTTCCTGCTGGTTCCAATACTTTTCTTGAGCATACTAAGGCATTAGATGACTCAAACAATGACCAAAGGTTAGGCGTGCTTAAGAAAAAAATTGGTGAATTAACCACATAAATGATTGATCTCAAAAGTCTAATTTTCAAGATGGAGTCACCTTTGCTTTAAACAACCCTCACCAATTATCCCAAGTCTAAACCCGCACTTAAGTCAATCACATAACTGTTTTTGACCTCATTTATAAGCATTTAGGATTATACCTCCAAACTTCATGCAACCTCTAAGAGCTCTACACCTGAATTCATGTCTACCATTTCACATTTCATAATCACCTGTTCTGCATGCTATCCCATCACCCCTTTCTTAGCCCAATTTCTAACCCAAAGTTTCTCAATTCATATCAACACTAACTATTTCATCATTTTTCCATTAAAGTAACCCAACCATAGAACTAAAAAACTCTTACACCACCAACACCAAACGAAGAACCCTTATTGACCCAATACCCATGTCCTATATATATTTATACCTATTACTTTGAGAAACTATCTCATTGCCCTTATCCCTATCGAACCTCTAAAACCACCTTATGCCAAATAATATAACCCCAATGCTTGATGTGAGGACCAATTTAGCATTATGAGTCACTCTCTGAAAAACTATACGTATTTGAAATATAGGGTACAAGGATTGATGAAAGTCAAATATTTAGGTTTTGACATCGAAATGAAGCCAATTGTTTACAAGAATCCTTAATCGATCCATGCCAAAATAGTAAGCAGTGCTATAGGTAGTAATCAAGTTGGCTAGGATAATGAATAAAAAGTAAAAACCTTAAAGCAAAGGGTTGTCCTTGCCAGCAATCATAATCAACTTCTTTTGAATTTCTTAAGTAAGGCAAAAGGGATTAAGAATGGGTCTAACACTTATTGGCCTTAGTCCTATGATGGTTCATTATTTGTAAACTTGAAACTTTTGGGAATGAATGAAAACTTCTTTTGACTTGAATTTTCTAACGAATGGACCTCTTTGTTTACATTTCATTTATATAATGGTATGTCTATGTGAGCCCATGAAAAAGAATGATGGTTGCAAATATATTTTTACTAACCTTTTGAGAAAGAAAGAATGTCTGTAAATAAGTCAACTTAAATATAGAATGGAACTTAAGCTCATTTTCAACAATAATAATAAAATTTAACTTGATGTTTTGCATCATTTATTTGAATTCATTATTTTTCATGCCAACTAAGGAACAAGGAATGGTGATTGTGAATATATTTTCGTCAAACCTTCAAAACAAATAGATATTTTTGAAAGTTTTAATAATAAAATTCATATCATGCATTTTTTACTTTTAGTAATTAATAAAAAGTTTAATGATAGCACACTGTAAGAAAAAAAATCAATTAAATTTGTGCACTTAAAACATTCGAACCTATATCAAAATCATGAAAAATAAAAATGCAAGTCAGATGGATAGGACGAAAAGGGCCTAAGGAGAGATCAGGAAAATAGTTACAAGAATACAATAGAATATGGACAAATAGTTGGTAGAATTAAAAGAAATATTAATAGATTTGATGAAAGGAAAAGAAATTGTTGGAACACATAGGGTAAGAGAGAAAACAACTATTGAGGAACTATTGTATCCATTTAGGTTCACATATCCATATATTCAAGACTCCTATACACCCCAAGCACCCTTAGCGACCCATCAATCTTATATAGACACTTTTGCTAAATTGCCCTTAGTTAAAATGAGTGCCAATCTTGGGCCTATCCTCTATGATCCCATTGTAATAACCAACCTAGATGATTTCAAAAAATAGGAGAAGTTAAAAAAGATACTGAGCTGATTGAGAAAATCAACAGAAAAGAAAAGTATAAGTTGCTAAAAGAAATTGTCACTAATAAATTTGTAATTGTGATTATATATAGTTGATAGTAATATGTTATATTTAATGGCGACAAAAATTTTCAAAACAAAAAGTAAAGTATTATGTAATAAATTATCTCTTCATCATAATAATGTTTAATAGTAGTGACCATTTTATATGTCGTTACTATTACATTACTTGCTATCAATTTGTCCACTTTATTAGTGACGATTCTATAATGACAAAAAATTGTGTCACAAAAACATCCTTATAGTGACAATTTAATTGTAAAAAAATTTAAACCGTCACAATAACTATTATATTAGTAACTGAATAACAATACGTCACAATTAATTATTACAATAGTGTCATAGAAAAATTTCATCACAAAAAATTTAATATTTGTGACAAAATAGCTTAATGTCACAATAAAATCGTCACTAAAAATCTTAATTATTGTAGTGCCAATATCTTTCAAAGCCCATATCTTTGTCAACCAAGCCATCAATTGGGCTTTTCGAAAAATCTTCATCCTCATATTATCATTCATGATCTTGTCCCCACACTTGAGCTTACCACCCAATCAACAAAGAACCAAAAAAGACCAAGAAATGGTTAAAAGATACTTTCAATCCTTATTTCTCACATTTTGTCTTTGCTAATAAAAGGCTGATACCTCACTCCTGTGCCTCTAAAAACAACACCAAATCCATCAGCAATGAGTTATGATCCTAATAGCAAGTGTGATTATCATATGGGAGTAATTAGCTATTCAACTGAAAAATCTAGATAGTTGAAGGAAAAGGTTAAGAATCTCATCAAAAGTGATATTTTGACTCCAGAACTGATGGAACAATGGAAGTTGATTCTATCCAATTGCAAAATATGAAGAGTTGAAATATAAAAGGAGGTCTCAAGTTTTGAAAGATCAAGAGAGGATGATTTTCTTTTAAACTTTCGACCTTTTGTGTATGGTATATGTATAGTGTCCCTAAAAGTTATTTAAATTAATCTTGGTAGAATTTATGTTGAAAAAAATGAATGCTCTAGGTTTTTCTATCAAATTTTATCTTTATGCATTTGTTTGGATAAAAGTCCCACATAATTAATTTTCAAAAACATAAAATGAAAAGTGTTTTACAACAAAAAAAAAAAAGAGGGAAGAAAAAGAAAGAAAAAAAAGATTTCTTTTGTAATAAAAGATGATGAGAATCTCAAAGTAATTAGTGATTACTATTAAAAAATAAACTCATATAATAACTTCGCACCTTTTTTTGACAACTTCTATGTTTCAATCCTTTTGAATAATTTCATTCATCAGTCATAATCCTTTAAGGGGCATGAACTTCAACTTGTTAACCTTGTCACTCATTTGATATATTGAGATAATAATCTTTTATTGGGTAATGAACAAAAGAGGTCAATTTTGAAAATTCATTTTGAATTTTGAAAACCAAGCAAGATACTATTTCAAAATTTTTAATTAGTAATCAATGTGTGTTGAATTTTGCCAATATGATTGAACCATCCAAATTCTTTCGATGACCACAGACATGAAAAATTCCTAAATTTTTTTCTCAAATAGCACTTGTTTCACATTTCAAGGTACATTAACTTAAAGAAGCAAAATTCCTTCTCACCTAAAATAATTTGTCTCATGTATTAATACTTTATTTCCTTCATTTTACCAAAAATGTTAGACAATTTAGAACTAAAATAAGCCTTTTGTGAACTATGTGATCAAATTTAGGATGCACATACAACTTAATTTTCATCATCATAAGAACTTTTTGTGAAAAATAAGATGGGGCATCAATCACACAAAAACAATTGATGGTTATAACATAAAAATAAAGAAAAATAAATAAAAGAAGCTTTTTACTTTTTCTACAGATAATTTGCTCTTTTAATTAAGTTATCGTGTTTGAAATGATGAATGACCATTTTTTTGTCCTTTGTAATTTAAAAAAAATTAACCATGCACTACCCGTTTAAGCCTATTAAATTTCTTATTCCAAAATGAACCTTGGCCAAAGATCATTTTTTACACAAGAAGACAAAATAAAGATATCTTCAAGATACTAACCTCAACAAAAGTGTTTGATATAAAGAGCGTCTAACATACACCTTGAAGATGAGAATCTAGAGTAAAAAGTGAATGAAGCTTCAATTAGAATTCCAAGAACTCAAGAGAGTAGTTTGCTAAAAATGAAGTCTAGTGTTTAAAAAAATAAAAAAAAATAAAAAAAGCAAAAGAAAGAAAGACATGTAGGTTGGAGATGAGAGTCCAAGGTAAAAAATGAATAAAGTTACAATTAGAATCCCAAGAACTCAAGAAAATAATTTGCTAAAGATGAAGTCAAATGTTTCGAAAATAGAAAAAGAAAAGAACGAAAGACATAAACCTCAGAGATGAGAACTTTGGGGCAAAAAGTGAATAAAGTATCAATTAAAATCCCAAGTAAAAAGAAGATAGAATTCAAGAAAGTTGAATGCTAAAGTTGAAGTCAAATGTCTCTAAAAGAAAAAAAGCAAAGAAAAAAAGACACATAACTTTTCATCTAAAGAATGCTCCATAAGATCCTAAGTTTAATTACTCTGAATAACATATTTTTAGCTTATTTACCCATTTTTTTATAATCCCAAACCTCAACCTACATTACATACCTTAAAATTTTCATTTTGATCAAATGTGGACATTTGAATTAAATACCTATACCTATTATTAATTGACAAGATTTTAACAAGTTTTTCATTGATTTAAAAATATAACTTTAAAGTGAAAACCCAAAAAAGGCAGTTTATAGCTAAAGCCACTCTTGAAACAACAAAAAAAATTTAAAATTCTAAGGTTTTATCCAAAATAGAAAATCACGATGTAGAGCTTTTTAAAGACTTTGCATTTCACCAAAAATTGAAAAAAAATTAGCATTTTTCTCTTTCCAAATCTTTTTTGAAAAATAATGGTTAATTTTGATGCACATTAAAATATCATATTTTTAATAAAGAAAAGTACTTTAAAAAAATTATCTCTTTTGTGAGCCTAAAAGTAATCCTTATAACCCTTGTCGAGCTTTCCTTGAAATATGCCTACCAGTAAAACGAATTGAATTGTTGATTACCCCAATCCACAAGCATTTCAAATAGTAATCAATAATTTTCAAGAGATTTGAAAGTTTTGGGTTTTTAACTTTTCTCATTGATTACGAAAATACTTTGTGTGGGGTAATTTGTGATTACTTTTGAAACATTCAAAGATTATTTCAGCATTTTGTATAAAATATTGAGATCATTTTTGGTGAAAAGTAAACATTGAAAATTTGAACAGAGATCTTTAAAAAAATGAAATAATAAGAGTCTTCGTATTTGTATAATTTACATGTGCATCATGAGAAAGATATTTGATCTACATGTTGCAAAAAAATAAAAAATACATTTGCATTTACATCACTTGCATTCGAATTGATATGTGCATTATGAGAAAAACACTTGATCTACATACTGTAAAAATAAAAAATGACATTCGTATTTGCATCACTAACATTTGCACTTGCATGTGCATCATGAGAAAGACGTTAGCATTTACATCATCTGTATCATAACTAAGGCATTTGCATTTGCAACATGGTATTTGAATCATAGAAAAAGTATTTGTAGGGCATCTACATGAAAAGAATATTGGCATTTGCATTATGAAGAAAGTCACCTATATTTGTATCAAGTATTTGAATTCTTGCATTCACATAGACATTCACATTCGCATTTGCGTCATTTGATGGAAATAAACATTTGTATTATGATTGTTTTTGTCAATTTTGTAAATATTAAAAAAAAAAGAAAAATTTTCTATACTAAAAAAAAAGAAAGAAAAAAAAAATAAGAGAAGAAAAATGAGAAAGTTTTCGAGAAAAGAGTTTAAAAAGAAAAAAAAAAGAGAAAGAAGAAAAAATCTCTTAGTTCAAAAGAAAAAAAAGAAGAGTCTGCCAAGAAAGAATAAAAGGAAACAATTTGAAAAAAATGAAAAAATATTTTAAAAAAACAAAAAAAAGAAAAAAAAAAGGAGAAAAAATAGCAAAAAAAAAAAAACAAAAAGTGAGAAAAAAGTCTATCATGAAAAAGATGAAAGAGAAATAAAAAAAAAGAGAAAATAGTTTGATAAGAGACTAAAATGTCAACAAGGTTTGAAGAATTGAAAGAAAAATGATCTACAAAAGGCAGATGGGTTATTGAAAAAATGAATGAAAAAAGATGAGATAATATATAAGATAAAACTTAAGTTCAATCAAAAGTTAAAAGAAAAATAATCTACAAAAGGAAGAGTGGTTGTTGAAAAAATGAATGAAAAAAGATGAGATACGATATAAGATAAGATTTAAGCCCAGTCAAACTAACATCCAGACCAAACTAAGCTCAGTCAAGCTGCCACTTAAGATAATCTCTAAGACTTTTGAGCATAATCTCTAAGAGCTCCGAGTATAATTTTGAAGACCTCCGGATAAAATATTTTAAATTTTTAAAGTTTTAATGCCTTTTATTGGAGGAGAATTCATAGATGTTAAGATTTATAAGATCTTCAAGCATAATCTCCAAGACTTTCAGGCATAATTTTTAAGATCTTCAAGCATAAATTTCAAGACTTTTGGGCAAAACATTTTAAATTCTCAAAGTTTCAATGTCTTTTATTGGAGGAGCATTCATAGATGTCCATATTTGTAAAACCTCTTGATATAATCTCTAAGAGTTTTAGGTATAATCTCTAAGACCTTCAGGCATAATCTTTAAAACATCAGGCATAATTTTCAAGACCTCCGAGCAAGACATTTTAAATTTTCAAAGTTTCAATGCTTCTAATTAGAAGAGCATTCATAGATGTCAAGATTTATATGACCTCCAGGCATTATTTCTAAGTCCTTCGAGCAATATTCGTAAGTCTTTCAAACTGAATTTATTTTAGTTTTGAGATTTATGAAATCTCCGGGCATGATCTTGTGTTTTATTTTCAAAAATTGTTAAGTTTTTTTTCAAGTGATTAAATTTATTGATTAAAACAATAACAAAAAAACCTTTTGAAAATTTTTGAACTGTTATCTTCAAACAAAATTATTGTCAATGTCTTTGCCCTATTCTTGAATTTTAGAAATATAAAAATACGAGCAGCTGTAAATATCCAATTTTGTCTGAATCGACTTGAATTTGTTCAAGTTTTAAATTTGATTTTAACATTTTAATTTGAATTAATTTAATTAGATTTAATTAAATTAAACTCATTCAAATTTGTCCAAAATTAATCGTTTTTGAATCGATTTGTCCAAAATTAAACCTAATTTAATTCGAATCAATTTGAGATTGTTCGATTTTTTTTACTTGATTCAAATATTTTAATTTGGACTTGATCATGCTTTGTTTCGAATTAATCATTTTCGAATGTTTTTGTATTGATTAAGTTTAAGTTTAAATTTAAATTTAAAAGCTTATTTAAAAAAAAAAAAGCCCAAATCTAATTATGAAAGCCTAAATTGTTTTTAAAATTCAATTCTAATAAAAATGAGCTTAAAACATTTCTTTTAATCCAAATATGATGGCCCAAATGCAATCCAATTTCAAGGCCCAATTACCGAAAAAAAAAGGAGATAGATTCTAGCTCTGCCAACGACCACCCTGCTCCACTACTCTGTACCCTGCAACCAGTAGTCTATTGGCCACTACCTTTGGACTATTGCAACCCCAATAAAGATAAAAATTCATACGCATCCATTTCACACCCAAAGCCTTAGCAATGGAGCAATTGTTTTTTCAAGTTCAAGCACCTCTGTCAACCCTTCCTCAGCATCATCATAGCCCCATTTCCACCCTCTAAGCACCATCATTAGCCTCCCTTGACCCAGCCTAGTACCCAGCCTTCACCCCATAACCAGAACCAAAATCCACGCATCAATATCAAAATCTCCAGCATGCACCAGCCAAACACACCAACACCCAGCTCAAAACCCTCAACCAATCTTCAGCCAAGACCCAAGCATCGACATCCATTTTTCCATTATCAACCCAACTAGTCCTAGAGCTTGCACCAAGTACATCTTCCCCTGCACTCCCTTGACGCATTACTGGCCACTGCCCTTGCCCTTCACCTACACGACCGACCTTTTAAAAATTCACCCATAAAAACTGCTGGCCAACAACTCCTAAAGCATCTCGCCTATGCCTCCAACACATTGGCCCTCTCTCACACCATCCCAAACCCTCTTCATCAAATAGCCCTGCCCACATAAAGCACCTCTACATCCACTTCAGATCCCAATCTCTCCACAACTAACACAAGAACACCAGAAAACAACCATACCATCGCTATTACTAGACAACTTAAGGCCCCTGCCCTAAATCACCTAGCCCTTGCACACAACCCAACCAAAAAAGCCTTTCGAAACCATAATAGCCACCTTTTGGCCCCACCACAATCCCTGTACCCATCACCTCACCAATAATCCCCGTATCCATCACCGCACCAACCCAAGCTAGCCTAATCCACAGCCCTCCATAATCACAAAAACTATCAACAACCCCTTCAAAAACTCCTTATATGACCAGGCACCACCTAAAACCAAAAAAAGAAAAAAAAACCAAACCAAACCAAACCAAACAAAACAAAAATCAAAGAAACCACAATCCTTCCAAAGGGGAGGAACTTCAGCGCTAACAAGAAACAATGCCACTGTCAGCAATGGCAAAGGACGACGATGGTTAGTAACAGAGGAAGATAGAAATAGCAGTGGTTAATCCTCGATTTCAGGCTTTGATTTAAGTTAGGGATTAGTTGATATTTTGGACAGAAAAAGAAAAAAGGTTTGTTAAAAAGAAGAAGAAATTGTAGGAAGCTGGTTGGGTTTCTAATGCAAACTGGTGACAGCCAAAAATAAAGGGTCACGAACGACGCATGGTGGTGGAACTCACTGGTTTTAAGGTTTAAGCAGTTGTCGATTGCTTAGGTTTGGCTGGGTTAAAAAATAAGAAATAAAGGAGAGAGTAGTTGGAAAGAGGGATGAAGAGGCTAAAAGGATTTGGAAAAAGGAAAAGTTTTACTAGCAAACGACATGACGATGGACAAAAGCTAGAAAGAAAACTTCTGGTTTTCTTTAAAAAACAGAGTTTTTTTATGAAAAAATGTGAAATGAATTTTAAAGAAAAGTTTGTCTTATATAGAAAAAAAACAAGCAAAGAATAAGGTGGGTCAAAACTGACCTGACTCAACTGGTGACCCAAATCGGCCCAGGTTCCAACCCGCACCCGACCTAGGTCTAATCCATTGGACACTTTTGAACTAGGCCACAAACAAGGCTCAAGCCTTAATTTACCTATTTTGGGCCTTTTCATTGAAGTGGGTTTTGACCCAAATTGTGATAAATTTATTTTAATTCAGATAGTGACATGTTATTTTTACATGCATTTTTATAATTTATATTTAATTATTTTAAATTTTTAATGATATTTATTATATATTAAATGGTTAAGATTGTAATTTTAATTTAATTTGGTGTGATTATTTATTTCACCACATAAATTTAATGAAATTAAAATTAAATGAAAATTTTGATGATGGGACTTCAAGAAGTTTGAATAGCAATTTTTGAGAATTCTCTAATTGATAAAAGATTTCTAAAAATTATCAAAGTATTAAAATATTTAGAAATATTTGTTTTTCTTTAATTTGAATAATTTTTTTTAAAAAAAGATAAAAATATAAAATATTCACAAGAAACTTTTTTAAGAAATAAATTTATCCATAAATAATTATTTTATTGCATAACTTTTAAATATTAAATAAAAAAATAAAATTTTTGAGGATGAGATCCTAAAGACACTAGAGTAGTGATTTTTTAAGAATTTATAGGTAAAAAAATTTATCTAAAATGTTACCAATGTACTAAAGCATTTAGAATAAATTTTTGATAAAGAATTTTTTTAATAAATAAGATAAGAGATGAATTTATTTTTTTAATAGTATCAAGATTAAATTATATTTACCATATTTTATTACATGCCTTGTCGATGATTGGATTTTTTAGAACTCCGAGTAATGATTCTTAAATAAATCTTTAGGTGAAAAAAATCCTTTTGATATTTATATAGTATTGGAATATTTTTGAGAATTTTTTAATAAATAAGATTCTTATTTATTCTAACCAAAATACAAAATAAAATTAAAAATTGATTTTTTTACAATACAAAATTTAAGAAAATTAATTTTTAAATACCAAAATTAAGACTTTTTTTATCAAAATTAAAAGATAACACATAATTAATTGATACCATTTTTTAATGCGCGTTATGAGACTGCTAATCTTTCTTTACGTGTAACCGACTCTCGAATCACAAACCCAAAATTATTTTTTTAATAAATTTTAATTAATTTTAAGATTTTATTAAAAATATAAGTTTTAATAGTTGACCTATCACATCTAACTAAAAACAAAAAAATTGGTGACAACTCCTTTTTACTTTCAAATTCGTCTAGTAACTCGAAAAAATCATTACGACATATATTATAGTGAAATTCTATTAGTTAGAGAATTGCTTGATAATTAAGTTTATATAGAGATAAATCTTTAATAGGTAAAAGTTTTTTGTAAATAAAAATTCTTAGTGATCAAGTAATGGAGCTCTATAATTATAAAATGAGTCATAACCTTTAGAATTATTATAGAAAGTTACAATCAATATATGATCTCTATGTGAGAGATAGGTTTATTTGGATGTAAAAAAGAGTAGGAGAAAAAACCAGCATGAAATAAAAGATATTTCATAGGTTAAATACTAGGAAACATAAAAACACAATTGTTTCAAGGACTCAAGGTTAGTTTTTATTTTTAGTGTTTTGTGCTCTATGTAATCTCTATATTTATGGTGTATTCTTTTCTCTCATTTATGGATGTAGGCAATTAGACTGAAATATGTTAAATATTACCTTTTTATTTGAGTGATTTATTTCATGTTGATCTCGTTATGTAATATGTTTTTATTTAAAAAATCTCAACAAGTGGTATAAGAGACAAATTGCCAACATATTTCAATGAACCAGACACTCGATGTGTTAAAAGGGCAATTTTTTAAGTTATCCCACATTGATTATGAAAATGGATTTATTGTTGCAAATTGTGTTCATGAGATTGAAGATATGCAAGAGAAGTTTTGCTGCAATAAGATGTCAGCTGCAGATGATGTCGACTAAATGAAATTGATTTAGTTGTACACGAGTATTGACCAATTCGAACATGCATAGTTGGGTATCTAGAATGTTGATATTTTGGTAGAATTTAAATTAAGGTGGAGATTTGTTTGATACTGATAGGTCAAAACATTCTATTGGTTTGATTAATTCGATCATAAAATTCAAAAATTAATTTTACTGATTTAATTTCTTTTAAATGAATAGATCGATAAATAGAATAGAAACAAAAAATAATCGAACTAACTTAAGTTGATCTGTTTATAGTTGATTTTTGTTGAATTTGGATTTGTGTTCGGTGATGGAGCTAAAACTTTAATTAAAGGATTAAACCAAAATACCCCTCCATAGCTGCAGCTCCACCACACGCGAAAGAATTAAAGGATTCCATCATTAAAAAAACAGACCCAACTAATACTAGAACATAGCGTAAACCAAAATTCTCGTGGCAAATACTTACTGCTCAGTACAATCATCATAAAAAAATTATGTAAAAGAACTAATGGAAGATTGTTAACAGATCATCATAATCAATTAAATGAAAAGAAACATCTATTTCCTATTCACATATAAAATTGAGAACATTGAAATACAAAAGCCCAACTGACCTTTTGACTGATGGTGATCACTAGTGTCAGACTTTTGGTGGAGCCATGAAGGAAGAAAGCAGAGATATTGTGACTTGCTACTGAGTTAGTGGTTGCCAATTTTGAGGGTTAGAGAAGTCGAAAGGTAAGAGATCTGTGGAAAGTCGATAAGCTTGTGAGGAGTTGATTTGTAGCTGGTGGTTGGTGGTTTTCAACTATGAGCAGTCAGAGGAGAGGAGTCAAGAGGTAAGTGGCAAACTAAAGAGGAGAGGGTGTGAGGGAAATGAAAAGATGGGCTTTCGGTAAAAAAAAAAAAGGGGTATCAGATAAAATAAAAAATGTAACAAAGTTATTGTAATTCAATTTTTTTGGTCAGTTCGCGTGTTAAAATCTAACAATGAAAATACCGACCAAACCGCTTAAACCAAAATAAAAAATGACTCACCCATTTAAACCGAATAGACCAACCTGATTTATCAAAATTAAACGGTTTTTGTCAGTTTGATTGATTAGACCAACCGGCTACTCTCCCTTAGATATTGATTCAAATTTTAATTGAAATTAGTTTAGATTCTAATAAAATTTTACTAATTAAAAAATTATTTAATAATTAAATTTATTTAAAGATAAATATTTTTAATGAGTAAAAGTTCATAGTAAACAAGAATCTTGATAATCAAGTAATATAGCTCTCTCTATACATATAATTAATCTTAATCTTTAGAATTATAAGAGAAAGTTACAACCAATATCACCACAGCAAATTGGGTTTTTGGCAGAGTTCTTTTAATTGTTCAGCAACTTTATAAATACCACTAAAATGTTAACAGTATTTATTTATGTTTACTGACGTTTCATAAATGTTGCTATATGCATTATAAGAAAGATAAATATTTTTTTTTGAAAGATAAATATTTTTTTTTATAAGAAAAATCAGGAGATAGATAGGTTACTCATCTCTTAAATCAGGATAAAATATATCATACTTGATACCCTAAGACAGTTAACTGCAAATCATGCATTTTAAATAATCTCAATAAACGATTATTGATAGAACTCAAATCCCAAATCTCTTTGTCAAGAAAAACGAACCTTAACCAAATGAGTTAATCACTTGTCGGTAAAAAAGATAAATATTCAATATTTAACGAAGCTGGTTTAAAAAACACTGCTAAATATTGAAATTTAGTGATAATTTAATCACAAACTGTCACTAAATATTAAATATTTTTAAATAGAATTACGAAAATATTTGATATGACTATTTTTATCCATTTTTACTATAATTATATTTAATATTAAAACAATTTATAAAAAACACATAAAGATTAATTCAATTCCATTAAATAAATATTATAAAATATCTAAATACACCAATTGTCAGAATAAATTCACAAGTAATATATGTGCAAACCATAGAAATTATCTAAAAGCACAAGCATTGTAAGAATTGACCGATACAAAACTCAGGGTAGTGCCAAGAAAATACATCAAGAACCATCCAATCTTGAGACCATTATACAATCTATGCTACTCATTTTTTTTTTAAGTATGTTATAGCTACTCTTTTGAGCAGTTCCAATAACCCTTCTATCAGAATCCACTGCCCATAGAGGGAGCCTAGTAATCAACTCCTTTGTCACTCCAAAACTTGTGATGTGCATGACATTGGAACCAAACACAACCCTCTACTCCTCAGGTCATGACAATTCTTTGGGCAAAAATGAAAAAGAAAATTTGTTATGTCCAGTTGATATATCATTAACGTGAAAGAAAAATGGAAAGAAGAAATTACCTGCTGATCAAGATCGTTTTTCCTCTTCATGCAGTTTTCATTCAATAGCTCAACAAAAAAAAGAAAAAAAGCATAAAAAATTATTAGCATTTTAATTCATTTGTCAAACTAAGCTTATCAAACTCTCATTTGTTTAGATGACCATAATTAATAGTTTTAAATGCAAAATAATGAATCTTAATAGAGAGTATAGCTAGCTATAAAGCTAAGAACATTCTTCTTTTGACACTATTTTTATTGGTTTAGAAAAAAAAAAGTAAATGGGTATAGCTTTTCCAAATTCAAGTTCCCCCAAGTTACTTTGAGGTAATGGATCCTATATTAAAGCTAATAAACTTGCCAAGGTTTTCAGGAACTATACAATTTCTCTCGCCTTAAACATAAACAAAAGATTTATAGTAATCATTAATCAATTAATCAAAAGAGTCAAATGAAGAACTCATTGAATCTTTAGAATTTTAAAATAAGAAGTTAAGAACCATAAAGAATCAGAGACAATATGACAACAAGCATGAAATTCGTAGACAGAGAAAGACACTTTAAAACTAAGTTACAACTAATAAGATACAAAATGCAATTATGCCTACCAAACATTACCAAAGCTCTAATCAAGTTAGGGCAATAACTTGATGAAACCATTAAAGCTTATTTAGACTGCAATATGAAAAAAGAAAACATAAAAGGACATAAGTTATTTAGATCATATCTAACAGAAAAGATGGTAACAAATTAAGGCATGGGACCCGATATCATATAACATCAGAGATCAAGGGATATTATGCTTTAAACGTGCAAGATTTACAAGGACAAAACAATTGACCTGGGCTCCCAACTGGCACTTTCTTTCCAAAGATTTCTTCCACAATGTGGAAGCAAATGAATGGAAGTCTAACACTAGTTTCCTTATGGTGCGACTGGAATGGAAATTTTCAAGCAAATGTTCTTACTCAGGTTCATCAGATATAGGCTTTGCTTCAAGTGCTGCAATAGTTTCATGCAAGTTATTCAACTTTTCATCGAACATGAATGGAGAATACCATTAGACCCCCTGCATTAATTCCAGGGAGTGTCAAGGCAATCAAATCATAAGAATAAAAGAAGACAAAAAAATACTAAAATTCAAAAATAGAGAGTGTCTGAACATTTAAGTGTAAATCAGACCCTACTTTGAGCCAAATACATGCTGTCATAGTTAACACTGTGTAAGAGAGGTAACTGTTCAGTTATCAACACGTTCCTTGCTTCGAGCCTAACCACTTTAGGATTTTTTAAAAAAAGAATACAACTCCATTAGAAGGATCTTGGAGAAAAATGCCGATTACCTCAAAGTACATCTTTGCCAAACTTTGGGCTATGTATTACTATAATAATGACGTTGAAAGTATTCTATCCAAAATGTCACCTCTTTCAGAAAACTTGTAATTTCAGTTTCGTTATTCAAAATTTTATCACATATAAGAGATCAATAAAAACTAATACTAAAGCAACAAGTAAGATGTGGCTACGTGGAAGAGAATTAAATACTTGAACACATATAAATGCCAAGAAGCCATTTTATTTGTTAATTCAGTTTAGAAAGCTAAAAATGAACAATAAAAGCCACCTCTATCTTCATTTCATTGTCATTACAATTTTAATTGTTAAACAAATATTGACAAACGGTAACCATTCACAACGTCATTAATTTTGATAGTATTGCAGCTAAGACATGGTCAGCTCTTTCTCGATCGAAATCAACTCTAATAATGAATCATATTCTGTTCGGTATAAATCGAAGCATAAGAATGAAATGATTTAAGATTTCATCAAGAATGAAATTATACAGTTCAAAAACTAAAATGAAACAATGAAACAAAAAAGCAAGACTTTCATAAGAAAAAAAAACAACAGAATATCACTTTCAGTTTGTTTAGGAAGGCGTCAACGGTGCTGCTGCTAGTTGTTGTTGCGCCACTTGGGATGGTGCTGCATGGTGGCTAATGCTGCATCTGTGTCAAGGGTTGATTTGGACAGTGATCCATGAGGAATGAAAAGGGGGAAATAGGAATTGGAGAAAAAAATGGGAAAAGTAGGATAAATCGAAAATGGAAGGAGAGAAACCGACTGCAAATCCAAGATTGAAAGAGTTGAGATTTCGATTTTGAGAGAGAAAGAGACGGAAATTGAAAAGAGATAAGAGTTTGGCAAAAAGAATTCTGGGTGCAGATAGAAAATAAATAGCTTCTTTTGAATGTTTAGGGCTAGAAATTTGCGGCGTTTAAACTACGAATCCTCAAAGTTTTGTCAAGCAGCGGAGTCTATCTTTATAAACGCCATTAAATTATTTCAAATAGAGGCATTTGACAAAGAAAACACTACTAGACATTGCATTTCACAATTCCATCATTTACCGTTATTTTTCTACGCTTTATTTTTTGAATTTACTCTCATTTTTATATGTTATCAGTGTTTTATACGTTTATTGAATAAATATCGCTAAATATTAAAATTAATGATGTTTGTTAATGAAATGCCGTTAATAAAGTACCACTAAAACTCAATCTCTTATAGTGTGTGATCTTTATGTAGAAGATAGATTTATAAAGATGTAAAAAAGAATTGAAGAAACACCGAGTTGCATGGATAAATGATTTTTCATAGGTTAAACACTAAGAAACATAAAAATTATGATTGTTTAAGGAGTTCACAATTAGTATTTTTTTTTCTTAATGTTTTACTCTTTCTAATCACTATGTTTATAACATATTCTTCTCTTTTATTTGTGGATGTTGGTAATTGGATCGAATTATTATAAATATTATCTTTTATGTATTATTTATTTCGTGTTAATCTCATTTTAAAATATGTTTTTAAAAATCCCAATAGTTTACCTTTTCTTAATTTAGACTATGATTGGCAAAATGATAGCATTTAATTTTGTAATAATATTGCTAAAAAATTCCTTAATTATTATTTACCATTTCCTATCTAAAAGAAAGGAGAAGAATAACAAAAAATGAAGCATCAATCGTAGTTCATAAACCATAAACATAATGTTGTTTTGCTTGTGTTTTTCAGAAAGATTTAACTATAGAGGAATTTTTTTTTCAAAAAAAAAAAAACTATAGGGGAATTATTAAATACATTTTTGTCTAAAAAAAACTATATACATTCTGATGAAAGAGTGAGAGAAATTCGCATGGCAACTTTTTGTTAGAAATTATAGCAATGCAAAGGCGTCTTTCAAGCATTTGCTTGATGAACCGTGCCTTTCACTTTGATCTAATAAAATTGTTATTGCTACCATGGAATAAATCCATGATCAAGACTTCTTAATAATATATAAATATATTACTTTTTGTATGGGATGTTTCCCTTGATAATGTGTGCAATACTTTCAAGCCTTTTTACTTGTGGAACCACTTTCAAGGGTTAATATCACGATTTGTTCTCTAGACCATTTGAAGAAATTTGAATCTTCGAATGGGATGGAAAGATGAATGAGGACAAAAGGCCAAAAGGTATTGAAACCAATAACTTTAAATGGAAAAAAATGAGAAGATTCCGATACCATGTTCTCTGTCAAGGGCTCTTACTTGGTGCGGAACAAAAACCCTTTTTTATATAGGGAGTTGTATTTAAGGAAGCAACTATTGCAAAGTATTCGCTTAAGATATCATTGAAGATAATAGTTACATGAATTTGATAATGAAGGAGTAATCAATTATTGATCTAGAAAATATATTTAAAATCAATTATAATAAGTTATAATTGTTAATAACTCTCATTATTATTTTTTATATATTCTCTACAATATCTATATAAAAAAGAGATATATACTCTTTCATACAAGTCATAATATCAACAATATAGCTTTTGGATTTTTTATGATAGAATTACGTTTTTTTAATGTTATAATTTTATTATTATTATTATTATTATTATTATTATTATTTACTCATTTTCATTCACACAAATACTATTATTTATAACTTAACAACAACAAGGAAGGATCGTGCCATTACAGCATTAATGTGGCCATTTCTTTTCTTCTTCCTTACACCTTGAGAGAGTAGAGAAGAAAGTAGAGAGACCTGAAATTAATTATGTGTAGGAGGCTAAGGAGCTCCTTTCAATCCAATACAGGGGACAGAAGCTGATAGAGCTGCCATGTCCTGCATTTCGGTTATGCTTAATGTTGGAGATGCTTTGCAAAATTCATCACCATAGAAGATTACGAATGTTAAGTTTAGCCCGATGCATGATGTGGGAGCAACTCCTTCCACCTACTTTGCCCACCCATTGAACTGAAGGGAGCTCCTGATTTCTTCATAACCAGGAGTAGATACGATCGTATCCAATTTCTCAAACTCTTGTTTTAATTTTGTCTTCGAACTCACCTACCCTTGATTTTATAAATTCTTACTTAACTTTTAACTACAAACTCTTTTCTGGTTTTTATCCAGCTCCACAGTAACTAAAATGGAGATGATCAAGTACTTTGGACGTTATCTAGTTGCGGCTTAGAGCAGTACACTTGAATGAGAGAATTGCCTTGACATCCAAGAAAAGGCCTCAAGCTTCAAGAAGTCCTAGCGATTGCCCATCATCTTTGGTCGTGAGAGTATCTGACTCTCAGTGCCAGACTCGCCAAAAACTTACAGATGCTGCTAATTCTCACAATTGTGCCTTCGTGCATAATCATGTAAGATTAAGCAGATGTGAACAACGCAGAAACTACTTAAGTGGCCTTTATGAACACTAGTCTATGTTGTTATCATTTCCTTTTGCTGTAAAATTCTGCCCGGTTTTGTCAACAAAAACTGATAATTTAGTCACTTACTACACTTTATTGTCCTTGTAACCATGTTCCAGTGCAAATGAGGTAAAAAAAAAAACATATGAGTTTCACTTTCATGAAAATTTTTCTTAAAGTCTACCTTTTCCAGGACTACACAAAATTTCCAAACCTCTCGAACACCAAGTAGTTAAATGAACAAAGCGGTAGAATCTAGGATTCAAAGCCTTAAATAGGATGAATTGCTGTAACTAATTTGATTTTGGAGTAGGATACAACAGTTGAGAATCTATAAGTCACCTTCCAAAACTCACCAAAAAAAAAAAAAAAGCAGGATGCAACAGTCTTTGTACTCCATCACAATAGCAATCAAACTGGGTATGAAAACTACAAATCCCATATCAACAAGGTAATTTATTTCAAGTAGGAAATGACAAGAAATTTATTCCATTGTCTGATGTAATGTTGTCAATATAACCCAAGTAATAGCAAGCTTTTGGATGCTAACAAGAAAGGAAATAAAATTAGAAAATGAAAAAGAGATCCTGTCCCGTCTGTTTTGATAGTCTTAAATCACAAACAAGAATAATAACAATGTTTATAAACAGTTATTCAAAATCCTCAATTTATGCATTCCCTTGCTGGCCAAATTCAGTCACCTAAAATAGCCAGGCATAATATTAATTATATTATTCCAAGTTCTTGAAGAAAACACACTATGGAAAATTTTACGCCTTGTGCCGAGCAAGATACAGAAGAAGTCATATTCACTTGCACAGGGATTGATTTGAATAATTTTGAAGACATCCATATGATCAGGAATACACATCTAAGTGGACCTAACACATAAAATAGATACTGAAAACTGTACAGACCATGATATGAAACGCACCAAAACGTAATGATGCCACCACCACATGAAGCTAAAAAGGAAAAACTATTCTGTGCTTTATTTATTTATTTATTACTAGCTTTCATTTGCTCTTAAAATTGAAATTTCATGTCACATTATCGGCTGATATTAGAGCAGAACATAGATATCAAGATATAAACCTCCTTACCACAAATATTTAGATATCCCACCCCATAGTGTTTGATCACATTATAAAACTGCAAGATACCAACAGCATTCGCTTTAAAAAAATTCGATAAAGACATAACATCATGATAACTATGATGGTCTAGCAGTGACCACTATGTAAAACAAATTTCACGTATGCTCACTAAGAAAGAATATCTCTCAACGACACTTTCAAGGTATACAGCAAATCAATAATTGTCCTCTAAATGCAGTCAAGTGATGATATTGTAAACTACTTAAGAAATCAAGGAACAATTTCTTTTCGAATTACACCTTGTCATCAGTGTCTTAATTAAAAAACTATCACAATATCTTCGAATGCATTTACTTAATTGCAGCGACCAATCTATATGTGCTAAAATGGCCCATTTCTCTACAAGATTTCTGCTTAAAAAGAATTCTTGTTTTGAAGTTGGAAGCACTTAAAACTTTTAAGATTGTGCAAAATTTGTCCTTCCTGCAGATAACTTAAATTTTATGAATCACTTTGCCATCAATTTTCACTCTCTCATTTCTTTTCTCAATTTTAAAATAACCACATTCTTTGTAGCCAAATTTAATCTTTATCAACCAAAAACCCATGAACTCCAACAGTGTGTTTGGATTGAAATGAGAGAAAGAAAAGAAAAGTAAAGTAAAGGAATGTAAAGGAAACAAAACCTTATTTTTCTTGTTTAAATAAATTTTTAATTTAAAGAAAGAGAAAGAGGTAAAAACCAAACAACTTTTAGTTTTTCTTATAAATCTAATTTTTTTAATACCCCAATTTGGAGGAAGAGCTAGGGAAAGAAAAGTTGAAAAATATTTTTTTTATAAAAAGATTATTATGTCCATCTTTTTATTAATACTAAAACTCTAATAAAAAAACTTAAACAATCACAATAATCTTATAATTTTTTCAAAGCATTTCTTTTTTCAAGTAAGTTTCACATATCTCTTCTAATATAAATTTTTTTTTATAATTTTTTGGTGATTTGATTTTGATAAATTGTTGAATATGAATAGATATATTTTTTAGGTTTATGAAATGATTGATTAGCTCAAAATCTATCAATGTATGTTTGTAAAATATTTTTTTATTTCACTTGATTAAAAACCATTGATATAGCAGCAATTATGAAACTAGACAAGATGACAAACATATCATAATCCAAATAGTGCTCTAAAATCACAAGCAATGAAACGTTATAATTGAAAAAAATTTATTATAATGAATCATTTCTTTTCTTTTTCATTCTTTATCCAAACAATTGTTGTTAGAATTCTTTTATTTTTTTTTCTTTTATTAATTTTAATTATCCAAACAAAGTTTATATGTTCTTTTTTTTTTCTTTTAAAAAAGCTTTTTGTACATTCTTTTCTTTTCCTTTATTAATATTTATCCACGTAAGGTACTACTCCAACTTTTTGCCTTTATCACATCAGACAACACTACATCTTCTGTAAATGACATGACAAGAAATATGTTTTCACC